AATTCTGCGGTACATACAGTACTGTGATGTATGCCATCGCTGTTGCTACTGTTATTGTATGTATGTGCAACTGCCGTTCTTCTGCTGCAAAGCAGCGTGCTCAAAATCTGAAACATGCGCCTGGACTTAAACATGCTCATGCGTCATGCAACTGTTGTTGCTTTGTTGTTGAACTGCTGNCGGTATCCTGTGTACTGACATGCACACAGCAGTGGCCCCGGAATTCTGCGGTACATACAGTACTGTGATGTATGCCATCGCTGTTGCTACTGTTATTGTATGTATGTGCAACTGCCGTTCTTCTGCTGCAAAGCAGCGTGCTCAAAATCTGAAACATGCGCCTGGACTTAAACATGCTCATGCGTCATGCAACTGTTGTTGCTTTGTTGTTGAACTGCTGTTGCTGAAGCAGTTGTGTTGGATCCTTTCTTTGAATATGTATGTACGATGCATTGCCGGAGTTGTGCTGTCTTACTTCTTGTTGGCGCTGCACGTGACGGTGTTCTCTCCCGATATCTGAAACATGTGTGTGTGTTTTGTGTGCAACGTAAACAAGCTACACACCAAACACTGCCTCCTTCTCCCACCGACATGATTACCCTTGCCCTCCCAGGAGACCATGGATGTTTCGCACGCACAAGCTGGGAAACTACTCATCAAAGCCCTCGCTCTAAGAGCGGTGTCCACCAAGTTACTCAAGGGGGTGTCGAGGCGAGAAGCCTTTGAGGCGTCGGCCGAGTTTATCGAGATGTCGGAGGGCACCATCAAGCAGTGGGAGCTCGAGTATCAAGAGCATGCCGGCGGTGTTGCGCGCGCAAAAGCATTTTGCGAACGTCGACTCTAGTCTAGACTAGAGGTTCTACTGAAGCGCCACGGGGGGGTTGCGCTCATGCTTGCAAAGTTCCATTGGGAGTTGAACCCGATCGAGCTTGTGTGGGGTAGATCCATGTGGTGGGTCCGCAGGAATTGCAAATACACTATCGCCTGCTTGCGAGAGAACGTTTCCAAGAGCTTCGGGGTAGAAAACTTGCGCCTACATGACATCGTTCAAAAGTTCTGCCGGAAGGTGGCCAACTTCCACACGGTGTACGACGCAGGGCTTACGGGCGCCGAGGCGGTGGATGCGCAAGAGAAATACAAGTCGCACCGTAGGTCGGCTCCATCCGAGTTCGTTAACCCCAAGTAACGTATGCTAAGCGTCGGTACGTTGCATGGGGTTCGAAAGAATGATTGCTTCTGTAGGTTTCGGTTTGTCCACGAAGTTTGTTGTTCGTGTTTTTTTTCGACCGGCTGCGTTTCCCCTCCAGGTCGATAAGATCGGTAGTATTGGGCGTGATGTATCGTATGTAGAAGACTAGTTTTTCCAACAGGCCACAGCAGTGGTGTACGTACTTGTTGTCTCCGTACTGGTGCGATTTCCTGTGCTGGAGTTAGTTGTTTCCTTTGCTGGGGTCGAGGGAGCGACCAATGTACGCGCGCACACATGCACGCTGTTTTTGAACTTTAAAAGAGACAGCCACTCCGAACCAGATTGTTGATCCTTGGCAACGAGGGTGCAACGAGTGCACAACACGTACGAAAGATTCAATCGAATAGCAGCGGAGTAGGGTAGGAACACAAGGCTATATTCGGTGTTCGTAAGGGAGATACAAGTCTTGCTTGGCGAAGAAGGTGAGACTTTCTTGCACTGGTTCCGACGTGGAAAAAATGCACGTCACATGTGGCATCATGTTTATAATTTAGAAGCAGCGACGAGTTTTTTGGGCGTACGAAGCCGCTGCATCTCCCTGTAGATGCAGTCTACTTGCAAAGAATGTCACATGTCGCCTTTAGATGGAACCAGCAGGACAAAGGTGCGCACAAAATTGTAAGCGCAAGGTGTACTCGACTATGTAGTATTTTTTCGCTACACAACGGCACATAGCCGGACTATTATGGTGGGCGCGGATCCGCTGCTGCGTCCCACAGGAGATGCAGTCTACCCGTGGCATATCATGTTGCATCATGTCAAAAGGGGTTACCCGCAGCGTTACTTATCCTACATCCCGCTGTAGCCACAGTAGATGCAGTCTACCCGAAAGAATGTCGAAACAACTACTGCGAAACACCGCGGACCCGGTGCAGTTGACACTCTGCGCGATAGCCATTCCGTGCGCTGCAAGACGGCCGGTGTTCACGGACTCGTTTAGTGGCGAGACCTATGCTCCCTCCTTTACTCAAAACGCACATGTCTCTGGTGTAAATATGGAGCCGAAGCAATTCCCCACTACGACATTCAAAGGCGCTCCCACCCTTAACCTCTACAGGTCTGCAGAACGAAGTGTGGAAAGTGAATGGGAGCGGGCGTTCGGTCGGCGAAAGGTGGGACACCTGCTGGAAGACTCTCAACCAGGAGCCCTTGGTCAGGATGTTCAAGGATAAGACGTCCAAAAATTGCAAGTCGCGCTACGACAAGATCGTTGACGACCAGAGCAAGAGCGATGGTAAAGCCCTGCGGGACTCCGGAGCCGGCACTGCTGAGAGTGGCTCGGAGGACGAAGTAGAGAAGAATACCAAGGTCCAGCTGGTGAGGGGTCTAGAGCCAGTAAGCTATCTCTACCTTTTGTGACGGGCGCAAGCCTGAGTGTACACGATCATGGCACAGTCTAAACAAGACGGGCACGAATATCTGCACATGTAGAATCCACAATCCATAGAGTATCTTGAAAGACCTGCGCTGTCCCGACCGAAGAAAATGCCTGACGTCGTCACCAACGTTACGCTTGCAGATAAGAGGGGTACGCACAGGGTTAGCCGTAAGTCCAACTTAAAATGCGCAGCATGACAAAAGAAAGACAGAAGTAGATAGACAGCACGAAAGCCCGAGTGCTACACGCCAGGCGACGCAAAACGTGCAGAGAGTTAGCTTGCTGAGACGGTCCTTCACCCACAAAATCAAAACAGCGTCGAGGTTTTCACTCCCATTCTGTATTGTTTAGGGGCGTGACGTAGCAGTGTTGACACGGAAGTACAAAACAGACGATGCCTATAGCTATCGCCGACGCTAGTGATGCAATTTGTAAGTCGTAGAGCTAACGAGCTGCCGCGCCGCTGTTGCTTCTTGTCCGCGATGTGCCGCACAGGACAAAGTTCTGACCGCGATAGTGGACGCGAAGGCTGCCGCGAGGCAGGACTCCGAGGAGACCAAGCAGAAGAAAGCCGACGAGGCGGCCTCACACTCCGCAATGGGGATGTGGGCCATCAACCAGAGCAACGCCCGATGCGGGCCGGGCGCGAAGGCTACATCATTCGAAGAAGCTNATTTGTAAGTCGTAGAGCTAACGAGCTGCCGCGCCGCTGTTGCTTCTTGTCCGCGATGTGCCGCACAGGACAAAGTTCTGACCGCGATAGTGGACGCGAAGGCTCGAGGCAGGACTCAGAGGGGACCAAGCAGAAGAAAGCCGACGAGGCGGCCTCGCACTCCGCGATGGGGATGTGTGCCATCAACCAGGGCAACGCCCGATGCGGGCCGGGCGCGAAGGCTACATCATTCGAAGAAGCTGTTGCCGCCGACAACATCGCGTTGGGTTCCCGCTCCGGTGCAGCGGCCGGTGGCGGTGCCAGCGGTCGGGTGAGTCCGACTCGCGTCGGAGGCTTCGGCGGGTGGCGCTGCCAGCGGTCGATCGAGCCCGACCATGAGTACGGGCGGGCTAGACGACGACTTATCGCCCGCGGGGAGCGGGCCATCGAGGAAGGTTCCACCGCTTAGCGAATTGGTGAAGCACATGGAGTCGCTGAGCATTCTGACGCTTGCGCAAAGTGCCGGGGTCACCACGGAGGAGGCGGACTACTTCCTCAACACGGGCTTCACG